GTTTTCATTTAAAGGATTTGCCACTGATGATTCAAATGCGAGTTTTGTAGTTTGTCATTTCTCCGATCACAAATGCAGACATGGTTTTATGTTTGCGCGGCGCAATGCAACGCAACGCGTAAAACGACAATATAAGTCATTATAATCAGTAATTATGTCCCCACTGGATGCAACAAATGCCTCGTTTGTAATGAGTTTTCATGTTTTTGTGTCGTGGCTCCGGCCAGACAAGGCATCAACACAGTATGGTAAGGGGCGTAACATTTCCGTCTCACGCTTGAGGTATTCGGCCAGTCACAACGCACTGGATAGCTGGCCAATCAGAGCACACCTCGCTTTTTCAGACCGATGAGCTTTGTAAAAATCGCCGCGTTTCAGAAGGCGGGGCATAGAGGAGAAACAATAATGTACAGTATGTGGAAAATAATGTTTTTTTTACTTTAAACCGCATAAACACATTTCATTACACCAAATACACAAAATAATGTTCTTTTTAGCAACATCATATGACCGCTTTAAAAGAAAAAAGTAAATAACATTTGATTTGGTTAATGTTGGCATCCAACTTGATTTTAATGTCATTTTAATTGTCATCCCACTCATAATAAATACTGAAACTAAAAGAATCAATTAAAAAAGGCACATCAGCCAAGGTCACAAACCGGCTGCTATTTTGCATGTAAATAGATTTTTATTTTTTTTTAAAGTGTCATGCATTAGAGCAAATACATAAAAGAAACGGCAAGTTTCAAGATTTGAAAAAACAAAGACTTAAAACAAAACAGTGAACTACTATACATCTATTTAGTAATCACTGTCAAACTCATAATGACCTTCACCAGCACAAAGTGAGAAAAACAATGAGTCTGTTTTATGAATACTTAGCGTCATGTTCCAAGTTCCTCAGTCTATGGTGACTGCCCTCAAAACCACTGGAAGTTTTCAATCCGGGGTGGTTGATTGAATTAAAATCAATGACAATCCTGCCTTGCTTTGGCTGGAATTGCCTGTAGGACAGAAATAAGAACAGAAAATATTACTGAAGCACAAGCAAATAAAACGCAAGTAGTTTGTCACTCTAGTCAAATCTGAGCCCTCCTTTTAAAATACCTTGATAAAAGTGAGAGAAAGAAAATTCACTCCTTGTCCAAGTTGCCACACCAGTAATTCACCTCAGCACACTGGAGTTGAGGAAACCAATTACATACTAGACCTCATGAGAGAACACAAGCAGTAACCCCCCTCCATAAGGCAATCCCAGCAGGGACCAAGCGCCCCAACATCTCATGAGAAAATACACTGCCAAGAAGAACCAAACCAGCAGGTGGCAAACTCCCTATTTTCCCCATTTATAGCCTTGTCTTCTGCGACTGCTCCCTGCTTTTCCTTTTATTTTTTTCCCTCTTTTTAATTCACTTTCTAACCCACTCCTTTTCTCTTTATTCTTTTATTAACCCCTCCCTCTCAGTGTGAGATGAGCTGGATGTAGCGAAAATCTATTCCTCATCATCGAACCTCTATAACAACAGAGGCTAATACAAATAAAATCTCTACTGACAGCAAAAGTATTCAAAGTCTTTGTCCACGAACAACCACAAAGCTTTGTCTCTCGCTCCCCATGTTCCTTAATGCAAAGCCAGATACAGCTGATGCCTGAGCAAATCAATTCATCATCTCATTCAGAATTCAGAATGCAGAATTCTGCACAGCAATGGTGAGGTTTCAAGAACACCTCTGTCCATCCTTCATTCCCTCTTCATAGGCCACTGAAAAAAATAATAATAATCTTTCATTGGAAAAACGCACACACATAGGTACTGAAACCTTTTTTTCCACAGGTCAAATCTGTGCACATTAAATAAGAAAATAGAAAGATTATGAATATGCAAGACTATGCAGCTAAACAGACAGACAGATAGATGAAAATAAATGCCTACATAGAGCCTTGAATGTCCAAATGTAGCAAAGCATAGTAGTAGAATAGTTAAATGTCCAGATGCTTTCACTGTTGTATAGTGAAATCCCCTCAATCATGATTGTGTCAAATGGATTTTAATACTAGCTTCATTAAATATCCTATAGCTCTGCAATCAAAGAGCTGAAGCCATGGAAATGCAGAGATACAGCAGGACAAATTCATAGTAATGCTGGAAGTATTGGAGAACAGCCTTCAAAAAGCAGCAGCAGGGGAATTAACCTTGCTACCCTCAAAGACAGGCAAGAGGCATGAAAGTATCTTCAAGGATTTCCTGATTTTCATCTTCAGGCGGATCTACTCCTTTTGTCTCCTCAGGCTCATGTCCCCCTAGTCCTATTTGATCTGACTCTGATGAAAGGCTTTAGAGTATATTTACCGTGCATCTATATATAGTGTGTATAGACAACTGGGTAGAGGAGAATTTCGTCCTGTCCGCTCTTGCTGTGGTTCCCGCTGGCTCTCTCTAACATAAATAGGACCGTGTTTGGACTGCAAACCCCACAGAGAGTTCAGTTAAGTTTTCAGTAAAACCTGTATCTCATTACAAAAAAAAAAAAAAAAAAAGTGAGGGACTTCTTCACTCACATTATGTGTGTCTAAGAGTTTTAAATGTTTGCAATATCATTTTGCTCTTTTAGTCCCAGTGCTCTTGGACTTTATCCTGACACCTAACTCGATATGTGGGCGATATGACCAAAATCTTATTTCACAATATGAGAGATTTTTTTTCATGACAACAATATATATCACAACATAGTTATTTTTGTTATTAAATATAAGAAAATTACAAAAAATATGACAAATACAACAGAACAAAAATACAAATTTACTAAATTAAGTTTTTCAGGTAGAATAGGTTCAACAGCAATAAATACTACAGAAATAATAAGATGTAAAAATAAAACTCTGCATAGTCTTCACTGTAATAAACTCATTCTTATCAAAAATAAAAACAAGTTATTTAGTCAAGAGTAGTGAGTGAATGTTTTTAATATATTGATTAACATTAATGACAAGACAGCAGCAGGTTTTTATGCTGCTGTCACTTTAAAGAGATAGTTCACCCAAAAATGAAAATTCTGCCATCATTTACTCACCTTCAAGTTGTTCCAAACCATTAAGAATCTCTTTCGAATTGTTGAATAAAGTCGTTTTTTCTTTTTTCTTTTGCGCACAAAAAGTATTCTCGTAGCTTCGTAATATTACAGTTGAACCCCTGATGTCACATGGATTATTTTACCAATCTCCTTGATACGTTTCTGGACGTTGATCGTGGTACTACCTTTGCTGTCTATGCAGGGTCAGACAGCTCTTAGATTCCATCAAAAATATCTTAATTTGTGTTCCGAAGATGAACGGAGGTCTTACCGGTTTGGAACGACATGAGGGCGAGTAATTAATGACAGAATTTTCATTTTTGGGTGAACTAACCCTTTAAGGGTGGATTAAGGTGTAAGGGATGGGTCAACAGAATAATTATAAATGAGAAATTTATTACAGATGTAATCACATGCAGGTTTTTTTTTTTATATAAGTACAATGTAAAACATATGTACACAATAAGCGCATTGTATCAAGTGATTAATTTAAATGCAAGCACATAGTAGTTAAAGTCACCTAATATAAAGTGGGATTTTTCTTTCTTCTGCTGAACACAAAAGAAGATATTCTGAAGAATGTGGGTGACCAAACAGCTGATAGTCCCCATTGACTTCCACAGTGCAGGGACAAAATAAACTATGGAAGTCAATGGGTACCATCAACTGTTTGGTCGCCCACATTCTTCAAAATGTCTTCTTTTGTGTTGTATTATGGTTTGATTTCCTATGGAGTACGAGGCATATGCAGACTTGTGCACAGTGCTTACTCATTCTTCCCCAAGCGTCTATTTTCGAAAGCTCACAGAAGCTTTTTGAGGCTTCAGGTCACACAACACATCTGAGGGCCGGGCTCCGTTACAGCCTTGATTGTACAATCGTTCGGGCCAGTCAGAACCGGCAGGAATGCAAATGAAGCTTCTTAGTTTCCAAGCCACACACCAACCCCTTACTAAGGTCAGACTCGAGAGACTCACTTGTACGTGATGCCCGCCAAGTTAAGAAGCCGTCTGGAGGCAGTCATTTCTGGAGTGTCATGGTATTTGTCTGACAAATAGATCACATCTTTTATACCTGTAAGGCAAAAACAGCAGAAGGATAGTGTGGGTCAGACAAAAGCAGACTTGTGCGCGCACACACACACACACACACACACACACACACAAACAAACAGAGAAATTTATACAAACAGGCCCAAGGAGAACAGGGACCCAAAATAGCCTGTTAGGAAAGAACAAGAGCTTGTGCTTGGGGAGAAGGAAGGGAAGTCGATAACTTGTCGCTGCAGGCTCAAGCCAATATCAACCAATCCCAATTGAGACAAAATCGGCCCTGCTGGCATCTTTAAAACACGTGGTGCATTTGGCAGCACCCCCACGCATCCTGCTGACTACTCACAAGCAGCCCACATGAGGCAGCTCTATAAAGGGCCCCGTTATAGGCAAGCTTTACAGAGAAATGTGAGGAATCTGGTGAAAACACTTAGACTCTCTCTTGCCCTTAACGCTTTCAGAGGTGAAAAGAGAAGTCCAACATTGCCAACGGTTGCTGCAATCACCGATGAATATACCGGAGAGAAAACCCCCCCCCCCCCCAAAATACACAGCGTCTCCATCATGTACTTTTATCTGCACAGGAGGAGAGAAGTGCTCTGATCAAAGGCAAAATGACTTGCACAGAGTGAATTCCACCTGTCATTAAAGGCTGCCATTACAAGCATGGGGCCTCTCCACGGTATTACTTGAACAATTTTTGAGAGGGAACAGATGAAATTACCATGGAATAGCCTGGCTATGCCATCTTAAAACCATTTTGGTGGTGACATTTTATGGTGCAGGAGACTTTGTATATCCAAGTCTCAACGGGCTATTTAAAATAAAAAGCAAACACTCAATCGTGTCCATAAAAAAAAAAGTTAAAAATGTTCTAACTAAAGTCTGATGTGATACATAAAGAAGAAGTCAGAAGAAACAGCAGTAGTGTTTCCATGTAAACATGTCTTTTCATGAAAAGAACATGAGAATAAGCATCAGAGCTGCTCAAAAACACTTCCAAGATGACAAGCTGTCCAACAGAAGGGAAGGCTCTGATGGAAGGTGGAGCAGAACTCTGGAGATGCTACGTTTCCAGAAAGCTCTCTGGAGATGAGGTGACACAGTACAGTCCCTCTGTCCCTCCAAAAACAGTCACAGGAAGTGACAAGATGGCAGCTGCTTGGGAACTGAACACTTTAATTCCTCAGAGAGAGGAGAGGCTCTAAAGCAGTGCTTCAGAAACTGAAGTCTCCGGCTCCAAGGAGCAAAAGTGCAGGGGGGACATCAACATGGGAGCCAGAGAAAGTGAAAATGATTTGGTGTAATTTCATTCTGTGAGATTGAGGGACGGACACATTTGAACGGCATTCGAAAAGAGCAGTAACACTTTCTCACTAGAGGAATAGCTACAGAATTAGATACAGAAGGGGGGGGGTGCGTAATATCTGGGGTCTTCACTTTCTTGATGCCCCCATCTCATTTACTGTGAAAGAATTAGACGAAGAAAAAAGAAATGGAGAAAGTACAGTGGAAGAGCTCTTATTTTAGTACAAGAACAGTTGTCAAATGACCGTCACAGCACACATTTAAGCAGGAATAGGATTAAAGCAAATGAAAGCAGTGTCGCTGACACAATAATGCGTACCGATGGCACCAAAATACTGGAAAAACCTTCATTTTAATAAATCCCTCTGGTTATAATTAAATGATGTTACAGTTTTTCCATTAGAGAAGCACAGGCTGGCAATATCAAAAGGTTTACCATGCAGAAATAAACAAGATACGGCCTGGTTGCCTTTATAAGAGAATCAGGGTGGATTCGCATTCAAGTCTACTAATATTCCCCTTTATCCTCATGTTTTTTCCATGCAGAGGCTTTTCTGTTTCCTCATATCATGGGGCTTTACAACTTCTAGTAAACAAACATGGTCATAACACCTTCAAAATGAACAAACAGCGACGACACCCCTGACTCAATTCTTTTAAACTCAGCATTCAAACATTAAACATCCGCTTTGTTCAGCTCCATCTGATTGGCATCATCAGAGGACGTTTTTAATGAGGTCAGACGTTCATTTTTAGCCGCGTTTACTGCATCCTATAGAGTGCGAGGAGACGAAAGGGAAAGAAAGTGCTGTGTGTGTTCCTTAATGATGCTGGAACATTGAGAGGAAGCTGACACCCCACTGAGAGATGGGCCAGGGCAAGGCCAAGCATCCTGAAGATCAGACGGCATCAGAGCATGTGTCGTGCTATCTTCAGCACACAGCTTCAGTAGGCTTTGCCACAAGAGTACATGGAGGGGGATCAGGAAAAGCAAACCAAAGAAAGAGAGAGAGAGAAGATGAGGACAAAAAGACTTGGAGGGGAGGAGAGAGACTGGGGATGGGGGTGTTAAGAGAGTTCAACAGATAAGAAGAGATTGAAAATAACAGCAGAGCAGGGTTTGGAGAAGGAAAAATAAGAGGAAGACAACCTGTCACCATGTAGGCCGTATCTAACCAGCCAAGAAGGCTCACAAAGATGACGGCTGCTCAAAGTGACGCCCACTGCAGGTTTCTCAGTATGGAAGGGTGACCATCGAGAACCTCCGTTTCCTCCTGTCTCATCCGTCATTTCATCTGCAGCCACATCAGCACTGGCACAAAGGCTCAAATATCTGAGCAGAAACTGAGCAGTGTGTGAAGTGCAGAGACGGAAAACGCATAATGCTTGCTATGCAATGTAATAGAGGTGAAAGGGGTGCCCAAAAAAAAAAAGTTTGACACTCAGGTCTGTACTACGTTTCATTTTGTGCCTTTCTCAGAAAATATTAAACGTGTTTGCAAAGGAAAGTGATAGCTTTCAAGCATAATTACATAAATTCTTAATGTCACTAAATCGTTGTACTGTTAGCAAGAAGACAAAGAAGCTAAAAAGATGCATCAATGAACGAAAAACTAATTATTTAATATATCTCTGACTATACTTGAGGCATATAAGTAGCAGGCGGCAGGCAGACTGCGTGAACAATCAATAGGAACAGTTTGAGAGCACATGTACATTCTTAGTCACATGCGAGACAAAGCCAGTTAAGAGCTCAGAGATTGCATTTCATTAAATTAAAGAAAAGCTTAAAGAGGTAAACAAATCTTTTATTCAAATTACTTCTCACTGGAGCAGTGTTGGTGCTAGTACTGAAATTTCTTTGCTTTAAATGCGTCTCTGGTGTACACTGCTATTGCGTCAAAGCATTTTAACAGTGAAAGCAGGACTGTTGATATGTTCCTGATAGCGTACATTTAACAGCATTGTGCATTTTACAGTGACAACTAACAAAAAAAACATGAAACTAGTAATGGCAAAAGTACATCTGCACCAAGTCAACAATTTAATCTTTAATAGCTGTAATACAAACTTGTTTCCATAACAGATTTATTCAAACACTTTAAATAATGAAAACAATAGAATATTTAATACAGCATATATTTGGCAAAATTCCCCTCCCTAGCCAAGTATATTGACACTGAATGGTTTTCCTGAGGTAAATGTAATGTTATGTGACATTGTATACAAGCTGTTTTAATGATGTCTTTCCGCAGTTGAAACACTGATTGTTCACTTACATGAGCCGTGATACATTTCAGTAAGTTGCACTGTTTCTTTCATCATACCTTCTGATATTATTTAATGTTTATTAAATAATGTGCTATATAGCTAGTAGTAACTAGGAAGAGATAATTGGTTCACTTGACGCTTGCAACGAGGCAGATCCTTCACACCACATTAGACAGCATCAAATCCATGTTAATTGTTTGCATTTAATGATAAAATTTACAGAATGTGAAAGTTGAGATTTAGTTAATTGTATTCATGCACTAATGCCTGCTTGAAAATTAATGTCAACAGTGAAAATAAAAGTGTTGATTGATAAACCAACATGAACATCATGAAAGACACACACACACACACACAGTCAGAAATAAGTTCAGACACACTCTCACCTGCTTGAATAATGAGTTTGGTGCACTCGTTGCAGGGGAAGAGCGCTACATACATGGTGCAACCCTTGACATCTGCCGAGTTCTTATTCATAATGGCGTTCAGCTCTGCGTGACACACTGCAACAAAACATGAAAGACCTGTTAGAAATGTTCAGAGTTCACGAACACATACGTGCAGCACAGAATGATGCATCAAAGCTATGATTAATATCTTTGCTTCACAACAAACTTGGATTGAGCTTTCTTGGCTTGTCAACATTGTACCACTTCACCACAAAAAGGCTCCAGTCACCAGTTCACTGTTAAAAAGGAAAAAGAATCTCAAAGCATGAGTCTGAACAGATGTCAGCTCTCCACAACATCACCCAGAAAAAGCCCTGTCTAATCACTCACTCTGCTCGCCTTAATTACGGAGAATGAATTGGCCCATCAGCGGTGGCACATTACCATTGCACTACGAAACACCAGCCTGACACGTTTATTTTGGCAGAGCTTCAGCACAAAGCACAGAAAGAGAGAGAGGGCATGTATTTATGATGGAAGAGAGATGTCAATAATTCACACAGATACACACACTCATTGTGTGTTTTAACTGGAAGCAGGCACACACACACAGTTCAGAGCGAGTGCACGATGATGATGATGATGATGATGATGGAGTACGATCAACCGTGTGATCATGGGAGGGACTGAGCTCTTAAATCAATTCTAACATGTATTGCATGTATATTAATCTGACTGGAATGTCAAATATTTAAAGGTAGTGAAACATTTTCAGGATAAACAATCAGCGGGCAAATATCGCAGACGATTACGCTTAATAAATCAAGAGAAGCAGAAGCCATGATCACGATTAAAATACAATTAATCTTACAGCCCTATCTGAATAGAACCAACACCGAACTTACTTAAGCTAAATAAAAACGCTATTGTCTTTCAGAGCTGCTGTAACAACAGAATCAGCCCAATTTCCATAACTGATTCTAATATTTCCTGTTTATCAATGTGAAGCTGCTTTGACACAATCTGTATTATATAAAGCGCTATGGAAATAAAGGTGACTTGTTGTTAATGCAGCTGCAGCAAAAAAAGCACAATATTAACCGACATCATTCTGTCTTCTTGCAGCATATAAACCTCGTCTCATATTCGAGAATAAGGCTAAAGCAGCATTGTGTTCACAGGGCAAAAATCAAGTTGGCCAGTAAATGTGATACTTAGTATTTCAGCAGCCTCTAGTGGCACAGTACTGTACAGAACCTTCATAAAGCTAGAATCACTGCAACTATTGCCCATACTTGGATACTTGGGCTTAAATGTTTTCTCAAATCTGCAAAAATGTTAAGCAGTTGTCATCCATTCCTATAAATACTGTGAGTGCCATTTTAGTTGGCCTCCCAAAAACAACAAATGTACATTTCATTGATTTACATTTAAAATGATGCATGTAGATAATTTTGAATCAGTTCTGCCATTAACAATGTTTCATGGTTTAGTACAAAGTCTTGTACTTTTTTCCACAATTTTAATAATGAAATGGCAATTCTTAGTCAATTAATCCTTATAATCTCAATTACTTCTTAGACAATTAATCGTCAGCCAAGTTTCACAATTGCGACAGCCCTAGTTGTAATACTGTGACACTGTTTCACTCCACTTGGACTTTTTTTTTTTAACATAACCAGCAAGACTGTAAACAATTACCTACTGTAGAACACTAAATCTGAATACCTAGTAAAAAATTAGTTCTTACCTATTTATGAACCAAATACATTCTATTTAAACAACTAGTTCAAATGTCCTCATAGCTGAACTTTTTGCTAATACTCACTAATACATACTTTTAATTCATAATATTAAAAAAAGCCCAGTGGCGCTTATTTTTCACCTATTACCTCGGCTCTTGTAAACGTTGTAATATAATAATCAAATTAGCATACTGATTACAAAAGAGAGAATCCAAACTATGATCCTACCGACTATAAACGGTTTACCTTTATTGTGCCACATTGGTGCATTAAGAGAGACAAGAGATATGCCAAATTAATCCTTTGAATAGAATTAATGTACCGTCACTCTGCATGAAATTTAACTCTATGCCTGAGCGAGCCACAAATGCAAATAAGATTTTATTTCTTTAGGATTTTTATATTCATAAATCATTTCAGGTATGTGATTTTAAACTAAATACTTTCCACAAAATGCATTCATTAGTGCCAAATATATGGGTAATAATACCAAAGCTTTATAGGAACTTTCCCTTGCTCATCACTACCTATTCTAAAAGAGAACACAAACATGCAGCTTATCAAGAGGAAAAAAGCACTACCATTCAAATGTTTGGACACACTGAAGACACGTTTACATTTTAAAATAACATTTTATTTTATATCTTATACACACGTAAAGGTACTCACGGCAACCCATCAAAATTTGCGGTAGAAATATATTACTATTGTTGAGTAGAATGTACGTAATAGGCTGCTACTACTACTACTAAAATTATTAAAATCTTATTTTTAAGGAATAATCATACAATATTTCTTCAATGTTGTAATTGTAATATTAAATGACCTTTATTTTCCCAAAAATTTAATTTGATTAATTTTCAATACTTAAAAGATAGATTAAATGAATATTTTATGCCTTAATGTAAATACACAACACAGAATTTCTGAGCAAAAAATCATAAGGCTATTGTAAGAATAAATGAAACTTGTTTTTATGCTTTCAAATAATCAGACATGCTAAATCAGAATTTGGAAAAAATAAAACATTTCATAGGGCCCTAAACATGTAATTTTTGTTAAACTTTTAATAAATTGATGTTAAATTGTTTAAGTTTCATGATTTTAATTAATTAGACATGCTTTTTGATTAAAAAAATTTAAGTGAGTCCAGAAAAAAAAAAAACACTCCCCCCCACAAAGCCATAAACCTAGGGGAAACACTGCTATATTATTTACGTTTCCTGTATTTTTGATCAAATAAAAGCAGGTGAGGCTTTTTCAAAAACTTTTTTTATCTTATCGACCACAAACGTTTGAATGGTAGTGTAGTGTACTTCTTTTCAAGCATACCAGACATCAGAAAAGTTCTATATAACGATCAGCTGAAAACACAAACACAAAACTTTCAAAAACTGAACGATGTCTGCTGAACCAAGCCAAAACTAATTTTCTGCATTCAATTTAAATTTTGGGTCACTTTGTAGGGTCCAACTCTGTTGGCTTTGTTTAAAAAAAAAATCTTCCTAAGCCTGGCAACTGACATCAGAAACCAGGGAGAAATACAAGTCACGAACAGTTCAGATGATCATCCAAGTGCCAGACTGATAAATCCTCTCCAAGGTTTCACACCTTCCCTTTGGCAGTATGACCCATTCAAAGTCCCGAGTTGGCATGTGCCGCCTTTAGGAACGCCAGCTCTAGCTCATTTCCATTTCTCACACTAATAGCTGCCACAAAGTGACCTTGCCCATTCCCTCACTCAGCAGCTCCACCTTTATCTCTCCCATCAGCCCCATGCAGGTGAAAACTAATCCATGACCGCTGCTATGTGCTCAAGAGAGCATACACCTCGCCACACTGCGTTAACAGACACCATGTGCTGCGTTGACAGAGCCTGAAATCAAAAAAGCCTTTTAGGCGAGTGTTTAACGTGAGTGTGCACTGACCTGTCTGTGTCAAACAGAGACAGAGTGACTGATAATTATGGGTAAAAGCTTGCTGCAGTTCAAAAGCCAAGAACCCTGGGGTCAAATGCAAAACTCACCATAGGGGTATTTGGTGTCCAGCTTGTTATCAGCACTGCGAGACCAGGGCAGCAGGTCATCGTCACAACCGTTGGGCATGCCATTGTAGCCAATACCCACTATCTTGTTTTCTTGATTCACAATACAGGCACCAACCTGAAATGAAATTGAAAAAAAGCTTATTTTGCAAATATCTATCACAATGAAGACAGCCAAGAGGCACAAGCCTGGTATTAGAGAGAGAAAAAAAAACATTCACGGTCTAGTGAGTCAAATAATCAGTCATACTTCACTTTTCATTCCACAGACTTCCACTCATAAACACGCAAATGCAGAAGATCAAAACGCAAGCTTATGCGAATTTCACTGTGTTCCAAAGTTCAAGTTTGTTGAAAATTTGTGCCAATTCATATCATGTGAAGACAGGTGACCAATAAAAGATCAATACATCAAGTTGTGACTTTATTTGAATTTTAAAAAATGTGAGCTTTAAGCCTGCAGGATGCACCGTTGCAGCAAAGTGGAGTAGGTTAATATTCTTACATTCTAGATGTATTGTATATTGAATAACACTCTTAAAAAAGACACTGCAGAGTGTGACATCACATTGTGACCATTCCAGCATTTTAATTGCATATTAAATTTCCATCCAACTGGAGTACAGTTTTTAAACTAATAAACTTACATGCATATTTGTCAGTCAGACACAAATGATACAAGAATGAGATTTATGTAAGATTACAAGTAAACCATGTGTGTTTAAAATATTTAAATATATAATAACCAGGTTTATATATGTATACATGTCATCAATAAATCCAGTGATCTTTTATTAGTACTATTTGTAAACCATATCTCATATTTTAACTAACTGAATCTTGCATATTCCATATTTGAACCATATTCAAATTTTTTAACAGATTTTTTTTCACAATTAAAAGATTTATGCACATTCTAAGGTTTCTGAATAAATACCAAATGTACTTTAAATAAATACAACAGATGCAAATACTTGAACTATGCACAAACACAATTTTTTTTTTTTTGAGTGTTGCACTATTCCAGTTCCTATAAAATCTTAACTTTTTGTAACAAAATACACTACATTATAAACACAACACTTGTGGCAGGACGATAAAAAAAAAAAACTAAGAGACTAAGAGACTTCAGACTGATCTGAACTTAAGTCAAGCACCTGACCTGATGGCTTACTGTATGTTCCAGCAAGACCCATCAAATTCATCTGATGCAACACAGGTCAGCAGAGGAGGATAGCAAAAGGGTTTCCTGAGACGATAGATCACTGTCAACAAAGTTCAGTCAGCGTGAGTGAGTGGGGAGAAGGCTGACAGCACCCGCATTCTCGGTTCACCAAAACTCTTGTGTCTTAGATATGCAATCCTGCTCTGTGCCTTTAGGAGCAATAACGGCTGCATGCATGAGCTGACCGAGGATCATGCTTGACTGAACTTCAATATTGCACTTAAATATCGGGAGTGTTCATATTGGCCAGGAGGTCACAGCACAGCAGGGGAGCTCTGAAACCAGAATACGTTCTTACAGTACATGGAGCAGATAAGAGGCCTGTGTCCTTTGATCAAAAGAAGCTGTAAGGTGTTTGGAGATCTTTAAGGTACTATAAGCTGTTTAGAGCTTCTCCAAGCTAATATTAATTGGAACAAAATGGTTTTAACAGAGAGAAATTAAGATCAAGGTATTGCAAAAATTACAAAAGATGTCTATATTGATTGTAATTTCAGCATATTTCAGATTGATGTATGGTCACCAAATCAACCCACATTTCAATCTAGCAGGACTGCAAGCAATCAATCTCTAGGTCTCTAGGTACCTGAGAACTGGGGTCCTTGCTCCGCTGTGCTGATAAGAAGGCAACAGCCATGAAATACTCAGGCCACTCCAGGTAGTCCTGCCTCTTCTTTGTCAAACCTTCACTGTGTGTTCTGATGGATTGAAAAAATAAACGCAATTAGGAAAAAAATCTAAACACCTGTTATCATCAAAGCACACAAATACAGAAAAAACATCACTGATACAACATTTAGGGAAATATAGTACAGTATATGATCATACGTGTGAACAAATGATTTTTACCAGTATTTTAAGTACATGATAAAAATAAGGACAGAATATATTGTTTTTTATAGCATACATATTAAGCTTAATGAACAATGTTTAAATCATAATTAACATGTACTTCCCAAGCACCGCAACAGACTGATACTGACATGCTGGCAAGGCCGAAAAATCTGCCAATTTTTGCCAATATTTCAAGATTACCAGCACTGGCCGATATCCATGCCCACTTGGACGATAAATAGTGTTAGCATTCCCTTATGCCATCTCAAAAATCAACCAGGATACTAATCAAATGAATCAAAAAATGATTTAAATATTTGAAAACAGAAATTAGTGTAAAAATGTTCAGCATATGTCTCTCAATTACTACACTTACATTTTATCTTATTTCTTACACTACAGTTCAAACATTTGGGGACTTTTTTAATGTTCGGAAAAAAATTAAAAACTAATATTGTGCAATATTATTAGAATTCAAAATAGTGTGCTCTGTTCTGTGACAGCAAAGCTGAATTTTCAGCATCATTACTAAAGTCTTCAGTGTCACATGATCCTTCGGAAATCGTTCTAATATGCTGATTTGCTGCTCAAGCAACATTTCTTAGTATTATCAATGTTAAAAACAATTGTACTGTTTAACATTTCGATGGAAACCAATCATTTTTGATGACTGATGAATAGAAAGTTCAAAAGAACTAGGCTGTACTGGAGTGGGCTTTGATTTGATTGTCAAATTTTTGTTTGTCTTTACTCTCACTTTTGGTCAGTGTATAATTGCTGAATGCTTATTTGTTTTTTTGTCAGAAAAATTAAAATTTTTGAAAGGTAATATACATGCACTAAATTGGCCATCAGTCACTGACCCGGCCCTCTAGTTATTCATATCTGAAAAATCCACTAGCAAAGTGTGACTAAGAGCTTGCTGGCAAAATGAAAGTTTCCTGTTGTCTCAGTGGAGTACTAGATCTTTACTTGTGCTGATCTTAACACCGGCATCCCTGACGCCCCACTGAAGACTGTCTACATGTGTGATTTGAGCACTGACAGACATTATCATCAGAGGGTTCTCCTCTGGGGCTTTCCATTTTAGCTTAAAGTGATATTACACCTTTTGCGACACATCTCAGTGACTGTCTTTGTAAGGCATGGGGCTTTATGTGTGAACATTTAATGGACCCATCTGACTTGACTTAATGTCTCTGGTGATTCAGAGCAGGTGTGTGTGTGTGTGTGTGTGTGTGTTAGTCTGCTGGTGAAATACTGTGCAATGATGATCTGAAGCTAATGGCGAGAGCAGTGACACAATGCTGAGGCAGTCATCATTAAGCAGTTTTCAAATGTGCAGTTATCTGAAAATCATTCACACGATATAGATGAAAATGCCATGGGTTTCAGATTTTCCTTTCAGATCTAATGTGATTTGTGATGATTATAAAAACTGTCTGTCAAACATTCATTTTGTAGTGCACCCAACATACTGCGAGCTTACAGGGCCGAAGAAGGCAAACACGGCCACAAGAGGGCAGTCAATCATCATGTTCATACCAGTCCAATCTATTTTTCAGTATTTGTCAGTTGTATACACGCTGTAACACTGAATTAACAGACCAAGGCATTAACTGTTTGTGATAATGTGTCAGAAACATATAGAGTTTCTGTTAACCTATTAACGTGCCCTTGTTGTCTGCACAAAGCTCACTTGTAACGAAAGCTCATGCAACTCACAGTCCTCTAGCACATTTCTCATAAACACAAATCTATTGTCATGATAACAGATTCCTGTCTGACGTGGTGACAATGAATTCAACAGTAAAACAACAGATCAAAACATTACCCGTTGAGCTGTGATGTATCGTTCTTTGCATTGTGGTCCATGGCTTAATCAGAGAATGTTGAGTCTGTTCTAATCGCAATTTCTTTCCTGATGTGAAGCGCACTAAACACACACGTACAGCACAGCAGAGCTGAGGAAGTTCCCGCGAAAAACCAGTCCACAACACTGTTCCGGGTTTAGACTAATGAGTTGAATAGCACCATCTCTACGCGGTTCTGCACATTACAGTGAGTTATTCTCACTCTTTTTACAATACAGCCAGTCTTTTATAATCTATACGTCTTCTTGAAATGACCTCAGCGGGTCAGCAAATGCGTAAAAAACGCGCATTCGTTCCTATACTTAGTGTAAAGTACGAATACTCTTCTGTCGTACTCTGGTTTTTCTTTAGAAAAAAAAAAAAAGAAATACAGAGCGTAGAATTTAAAACTCTCTTTAAAAAATGTTTAGAAGTCATGTAAGTTAATTTTACCTCCTTAAAATGATATATGGATATGAATCATTACATAAATAACGCATCAATTTGATTATAACGAAAATAAACAAATTAACAACAAAACTGAAATTGCACAGTTGAAAATGTTCACTTGAAATAAAATATAAATAAACCCGATTAGTCTACCGCATGTTCTTTCACGCATTTTTAATCGATCCACGAGGAGTTAAGTTGGTCTGTAACAAATTATTTTAATAAATATTATTATTATTATTTGTTTGTTAATTTTTGTGTTTAATTTTGTATTTTCAAACCTGTATGACTTTGTTTCTTCCACACAAAATTCGAAAATGATTTTGAAGAATGCTGTAACGAAACTGTTTCGGTTGCCTTTGACTTCCATTATAGACAGACAAAGCAATGGAAGTCAATGGCAACCGAAACCGTTTGCTTATCCACATTCTTCAAAACATTTTCTTCTGTGCTCAGGTATGAAATTACATGAGGGTGACTGCCATTTCTGGCTAGGCTACTTCTAATGTTTGCTTTCCATAGAAAGAGTTCTCTTATTAAGTCATAGAATTATCATGAAACTATTTCATATAAATCCTCCACACCCCTTCCATGATCTGACACCACAGAAGGGCATTGCGCAATTTCGTACCCTAATTAAATCAGGCCTCTGCTCTAAAATAAGCAGGGTAACCAACCGCAGTCAGCAGAAAACAGATGGTCCATGAGAAGTTTCCCCACAAAGGCATTTCAATAAATAACTGTGTCTTTCTGGGATCAGCACAAACACAGAGTTGAATCAACACCTACAATTCGCTCAAAATCAAGTAAGTTATATCATTTACGAGTTTTTGGAAATCCAGTTTAAAACATTTATATTTCGAGAAAGCGTTTAACAAAAAGACAAATGCCTCTCAGTTGTTGTTGTTGTTCACACGATTGCAACATACATAAGTTACTTAACCGAGTTCTTTAGTCACAAAATGTTTCAATCCTCGTCTGTATACCTGGTAATAATAATATTACAGTGATAATAATATTGGCACAGACATGTCCCAACACTGGTGCGATTTACTGGTAGTGTCGTCGAGTTCCAGCACAGCAGGCGGCGTGGCGTAATGTGGAAGCGGAAGTGAAAGTGAAAGAAAGGCTCCGCAGACCAATGAAACGCTCAGTTGTTTCACTTCCGGTCTGGTTCTCGATGACGGTTTTGCGTCATTCTACAAAACACGAAAGGCAGGGTTTCTGGAACAGTTCAAACGGAAATTACATGAGGGTGACTGCCATTTCTGGCTAGGCTACTTCTAATGTTTGCTTTCCATAGAAAGAGTTCTCTTATTAAGTCATAGAATTATCATGAAACTATTTCATATAAATCCTCCACACCCCTTCCATGATCTGACACCACAGAAGGGCATTGCGCAATTTCGTACCCTAATTAAATCAGGCCTCTGCTCTAAAATAAGCAGGGTAACCAACCGCAGTCAGCAGAAAACAGATGGTCCATGAGAAGTTTCCCCACAAAGGCATTTCAATAAATAACTGTGCCTTTCTGGGATCAGCACAAACACAGAGTTGAATCAACACCTACAATTCGCTCAAAATCAAGTAAGTTATATCATTTACGAGTTTTTGGAAATCCAGTTTAAAACGTTTATATTTCGAGAAAGCGTTTAACAAAAAGACAAATGCCTCTCAGTTGTTGTTGTTGCTGTTCACACGATTGCAACATACATAAGTTACTTAACCGAGTTCTTTAGTCACAAAATGTTTCAATCCTCGTCTGTATACCTGGTAATAATAATATTACAGTGATAATAATATTGGCACAGACATGTCCCAACACTGGTGCGATTTACTGGTAGTGTCGTCGAGTTCCAGCACAGCAGGCGGCGTGGCGTAATGTGGAAGCGGAAGTGAAAGTGAAAGAAAGGCTCCGCAGACCAATGAAACGCTCAGTTGTTTCACTTCCGGTCTGGTTCTCGATGACGGTTTTGCGTCATTCTACAAAACACGAAAGGCAGGGTTTCTGGAACAGTTCAAACGTCCAAATTGAAGAAAAAAAAAATCACTGCCTCTTTCTTTATAAGATGAAGAAAGTATTTCTAAAAAAAAACATGATGCCATTTTTTGCGTAGTTCCAGGACGGGATTGTGTAACACATCTCATCGAGGGATCTTTAGAGGATTATCGGCTGCCTCCCCTACAGGTAAATACCTAAACAGCTTCAAAGCAGAAGTATGAATTTATCAATCTGTTTACAAATAGATTCTACACGATCTTTTGTCTGTTGGGTTGAAACATGTTTACACTAATAAACGTCCAAATATGTCTCATTATGGTTTATTCATTATCTTGTATCGTTAATCTTTATTATGATATGCATTGATATAATATTCTGAATAATAATTTTTCTTGGCTTATATGGAATTTATGTGGAAGATAATCCATTTAAAGAGAGAGCACGTTGTGTCCCATTACAGAGGGACTCATCATGGCTTTACAGGGATCTGCAAGGCTTCACTAACGTTAACCCAAATGTTGTCAGTTCTATGACCACAACACCTGCAAATCTGAAAAAAAAAAATGTTTTGCTGTATATCTTAACTCATTTGTTGTTTGTTTTTGACCACATAATGAGTTTTCTATGTGAGACAGAATGTCCAGTACATTTGAAATCTTCACTGTATTGGATTCTGTTCAGCGTCAAGATGCCAGTGGACAGAATGAGAATGCGCCCCTGGTTGGAGCAACAGATCGAGTGTGGGCAAATTCAAGGTCTGCACTGGGTCAATGAGGTGAGAGAAGAAATCTGACATCAAATTATAATTCATTTAAAGAAGAGTATTTTCATGCTGGGAATATATAGATGTATAAATCTTGCATCACACTGAAGGGGTTTATTCTGTAATAACAACCGGCTATTACCTGACTCGCTTGCCACACAGGTAAATAATTAGCCTCGAAATAAGGATTTGAAATTAAATATTTTATTGGCTCTTTAAACGCAAGGCTTCTACAAAGAAAAGCAGTTCCTAACAAATGGCTTTGAACAGACAAAATTCAGACAAGACAGACATTTAAGGCATAATGTACAGTCATATCACTATTCACCAATGACACAGCTTTTCACTACATAAATAAAGATGAGGACAGAAAATGTAAAAAGAAAGCATTGTAAAATTGTACCTGTTTATTATCTTAAATCTATTGCAGCATACAAAACAATCATTCTGGCAACAAGTGGAACACTTTGACAGTATTACCGCAGGCCTGAAGCAATTGGGTTTTGAATGAAACTAAAGAGAGCATTGGAGCTCAGGGTAGCTTCAAAGGTTTCTACATGTTTTTGCAGCGATGAGTAATGTATCACAGACATATCTCACGAATCCTTTCATAAGCAAAGTGTAGACAGGGTGTAAATAAGAGACTCATTGCGCAGTGTAGAGAGCTTCATTGATTATAAATGTGAGCTCGCGATGAACTAAGATGATGAGTGACAGCTTTTGAATTTTAAGGGAGTGTGTAAATGTGATACAGATTTAATACAACATTTCAATAAACAAGAAGTTAATATTAAGTGACTTACATTGTCTGACTATAACACTATTGACTGATTTTGCTCTATTTCATCGTCGAAAATAGTTTAAAACAAAGACATCGCATCTCCATTCAAACACAGCAGTGTTTTTAAACGAATCTAGTGAGTCAGTGATTCATGATTACCCATTCATAAAGACAGTCACTTGCTTCATTCCTGAATGAATCAGCCGTTCGAATGAATCAATTGAATGAATGATTCAGTGATAAAATGAGATGGTCCTCACTGCAGAGTACAAGATCCAGGGGGCAAGGTTGGATCCAGATCCAACTCCTCCCACCTTACATATATCTAAACCTACCCGTCTCCACCCCCAGATCCCTAAACCCACCCGTCTCCACCCCTAAACCTACCATCTCCACCCCCTAGATGTGGATCCAACCACACCCCCTGGATCTTTGTTCTGCTGTGAGGGGCTACTGGATCAAATCAGTGACTTGCCTCCACCTGCTGGCAGTTTTAGTTTCATTTTTAAAGTATCTTTTCAGTTATTTAAATCATTTAATATTTCTATATTCAAAATTTTATATTTAAAACATTAATCTCATCATGAATTTATGGATTTAATTGCGCTCATGCCACCTCTGAGCCTCATTAAATGTCTGAAAGTACACCAAGACACTTCTGTGTTCTTCTGTGCCACCTCTACAAATTAATTTTGTTAATACTGATTTAATTTGATTGGTAACTTATGTTTCTTATTCTACTTGTTCTTATTCTGTCGTTTTAATTAAAAATTTTAAAAAGCTTATAAAATATATCTTTTTTAAGAATTTGACAAAAGATGACATAATTTTAATAAAGTTAGAGGAGTCAAATATCACCTCGTAATGGGAAGGCTACTTTTTGATAAAATTTTGGATCATTGATTAGAAGGTTCTCCTAAAATTTTGAACGTGCTCCAAAATTTTTAAAGTTTAAAGTAAGTGTAGAGCCTAGGGGTGTGCGATATTGACAAAAAATTATATCTCTATAGTTTCTGGGATTTTATCGATAACGATAATTAGACGATATTTTGCTGAGTGTGTTATTGTGCTGGTACCTTAAGGACTGCCGAAGACAGCTGACTCCTAATGTTTTTAATATTCTTCATATTCTGTGTGGTGGTCAGTTCATACTGATAGAAATTTATCTTCTCCCATAAGTTTTAACTGATTTTTGCATTTTATGGGCATTTTTACCTTTTATAAAGCCATTTGTT